TTAGTTTTTTACTATTTGTAACAAAATCACCCCTTGCCCGATTAAGATTGAAACGGATCGGCTTTATATCTCTTTTGATCATCGTCTTGTTGCTTTTACCTGTTTACATCTTGCTGTGACGATGATTTCGGTTAGCTTAGCCATTTTGATCTGGTCTTGATCGAAGATAGCATGTGGTCAGGACATGTTTAACCCTAAGTAAAGCTTACTAGTTAATGAAACCTGATCTAGAACTGCTATTATGGATGCCATCGATCCGGTCGACCCCCACTGTTAGCACTATAGATCGGAGATCGTTAAATAGCAAGTCTTGCTTATGGTCAAGCATGGCCTCTAGCTACATGCTATGTCTGCACTGGCTATTTAGCCGATCGCCTATGCTTCCACGACCGTAGCATGCTTTCATGATTTTGTTAAGCGCACATAGATTCGTATGCTTGTGTGGGTTTAATCTGTTATATCTATCACGGTTGCATCGGTCTGGCTCGTATCCCCAGTGTTAGAGATGGCAGATTGGATCTAACAGGTATATGGACTTATCCATGTTCAACGGATGAATATCTGTGCATTACGACTTTACTTTCATTGGAATCAGCTATTTTAACCGATAGCCCTACGTTGAGAATATATTGGCTACTCACATGCTTTTATTTGCTTCTGTCTTGGTTAAAAGCTAGTATGTTTATCATTTAATGCTTCCACGTCTACTTCTTATACCTCTTTAGCATGTTTTCATGATCATCAGCTAAGTTAGACCTATGCAATTGAGTAAATGATAATTGCCGATATGCTCGTTTTTGCTTATCATGCATCATGAAAATGCTGGATATCGACTCTCTAGTCGATAGCTTGTATCATCGGCTACTTAGCCGCACATTTGGAACTATCTAGACAAACACCGGCATATTCCACCTTAAATTATTGATCAATCTTGTCTCCTTGTCAATAGCAGGGTCAAATTAACTAGCACGCCCTAGGTCACGACCATCCGATCCGGTGTCCTCCTAAGTCCGGGGAGAGCTCGGGATCTGCTCCACATGGTTTCTCCCGGTTTGTTGTGTGTCTTCCAGCGGCGGAGAACGGCCCGTCACTTTTCGCCATCGACAAAAGGGTTATACATGTAGTTTCCTAATTAACAAATCTAACAAACTCAATATTATGCTTTTTTATCTTTATAAAATTTAAGATTTTTTATGAGTATAAATTTCAAGATGTTAATGATCAAAATTAACAATGTTTGATTTAGGGGTTAGGACACACCTGAATATCGATTGAGAAAGTAGTATTCTATTACATAGTTGTGAATTTCATGTGGCCAGCAATCAAATGGATCTGCACCTATCTACTCCCAAATCCCAACATTACAGGGCTAACAATTTTTTCCAATAGTTTTATTAGGGCAGTTTCAACTCAAACTCATGAGATACTCCCTTCGCTCTAAATTGGAAGTTGTTCGGGCTTTTCTACGTAATTTTTTGAGTAAATTTCACCGGTGGTCCTCGAACTTGTCCTGAGTTGTCATCTAGGTCCTGGTACTTGCACATTTAGTGTCCCGAATTCTCATCTAGGTCCTGGTATTTTCAAATTGCACATCCAGCTCCCTAAATTTGTCCCAAGTTCTCATCCTAGTCTCGATATTTTTAAAATACACAATCAACTTCCTAAACTTGTATTACTATACCATCCTGGTCCATCCTCTTTCCCCACACTATGTTGCATGTGCCCACCACACTCGTGCAGCCACACCACACTGCATCGCGTTTGTCCACCCATAGTTGTGTACCACACGGGGGCAAGGATGTGTGGTGGGAGCTCATGAGGGATGTGTAGACCTAGCTTTCTAGGACTTGCTATATCGGTTGGTCATGTTTGCCCTACCACATGTCCCAGTCAAGCCTTCGTTGTCGTGGTCCTCCTCGATTTCGCTTGACTAGCTCCTGCTCCACCTCATTGTGGCGACAGGTCTTGCTTTGCAGTAGTTGGATTTAGTGCCACCACTGCACTCCTTCCTCTTCCCCATCTCGTAGGAGCTCATAGTCATTCTCGCCATCTCCTCGCACTCGGTTCCTGAAAGACCCTAGTTTGGTTTTGGTAATTGAGTAACAACCTAGGTGGTCTAATATGTGTTTATATCGAGATACACAGGTGATTAGTCCACAAGCACACTAGTGTGAGAAAGCAATGGTGGAGAGGTGGCTTGGACATGTTGCAAGTGCTCAACTAGTGAAATGAAAGAGCTACATGTGGTTTGGTGGAGAAGATGAAGAGGCATATGAGCAACTAGTGAGATGAAGGAGCTCATTGCATATGAGCAATTTCCACGGGGAACAAGAAGTGACAAGAGTAAGAACAAAGAACGTCTAATACTAGAGCAAGTAAGGTAACATATGTGGGTAGAGAGGTCTTCCTATGGATTATCTAATAAAAGGTAAGAAAAAGGTTGAAGATATCAAAGTTGTTTACTTTGGGGCGCAGCCCATCCTAATTAACACAAAAGGATTAATTAGACCATGAATGCAACGAGCCCTGCGATTTAAGAACTAGACCAATTGTGGCGAATATAGAGGATGAATAGGGCTATGACCACGTGCCACCTACCACAATCTATCCCGAGGCCTAGCCGTAAACACAGGCAAGCTATAGCCTAAGCACCATGCTTATTCTATAAACTCACTACTCTGATCTAGGTCCCGATGAAGTGAGATCAGAGCACTCTAACCAAGTGGTGAAACCCATAAACAACAGTAATAAGAACAACACTTAATTAATGTAGAAGATCAGAGTTACCATAGACAATCCTACACTTCGCTCGATTAGAGTTGCATCCGTCGAGGTACAAGTATAAGAGGTTTCCGACAGGCCTAGCTCCTCCCCAAACTTCTCCTCACTCTCTCCCTATCTTCTAATACCAATGATATGGTTTCACATAAGCTCAACTCAGCTCTTGCTTGCTTCTTCTTAGAATGGATGCTTCACTTGGCGCCAACAACTCCTTTTATAGTGTGTAGGGGGTACTTGTAGGAGTGTCAGAGGCGGTGGAGTGTCCAGGTGGGGTCGGGTGACCCCCCGTAGGTTCGGCCGACCCTAGGATGGCACTGCCATGCCATCCAACGGTTCTGGATGCTACCTGGTGGCGTTTGGCAGTTATTTGAGGCGGTTTGGAGTCGGTAACTTGTTTTGGTGGGTGGTGGTGGGCCATTCAATCCATGGGAAGCGTCCTGGTGGCCATCGGATCAAACCGATAGAAGACCAACGTCCCACGCCTTGCACAAATGTGTTTCTTTGGCAACCCATGGATTAGTGATGTGGCAGTGAAGAGAGCAAGGTCGGGTGACCCTGTTAGGGTCGGTCGACCCCACTAGGTGGGCCATAGCCCCGTGCTACCTTAGTTGCCTTCTTGAAGCTTTGTATTGATGCCTTTTTACTAATTTGTCCTGCATGCACAAATTTCCATGTACAAGTTGAACCAAGTACAATTATAGCAAAAACTTTGCTTTTATGTTGGTTTTATGGTCAATATGTCGGAGTGTTGATGGTTAGAATTAAGGTGTAAGGACCATCAACATGTAGCACATGGCCTGACGGCGCGAGCAGGCATGGCATGGCCTAGCGTGGCAACATGGGTATGACACCACACCGACAATGCAACATAGACAGGCGCGGGGTAGTAGGGCGAGCATGGTGCAACGCTATGTGGCTATGCGAGTAAGTCAGGCATGTGTGGCGTGGCGGAGGAGAGGACAGTGGTGCGAGGCCGAATGGGCCATAGTGGTACAATAATACAACTTTAGGGACCTGAGTGTGCAATATGAAAATAACAGGACCGGGATGATAACTTGGGACAAGTTCAACGAGTTGAGTGCACAATTTAAAAGTACCAGGGCCTGGATGAGAACTCGGGACAAGTTTAGGGAGCTGAATGTGTAATTTAAAAGTAGCAAGACTTAGAAGAGAACTCGGGACAAGTTCGAGGACCGTCAGTGAAATTTACTTTAATTTTTATTACACATCTACATACACATTATGTTAGGTATATAATAAAAGCTATGTATCTAGAAAATTAAAACAACTTATAATTTAGAATAGACGGAATAATTTCTATAGTTACTAAATCACGTAGACACTACATATAGAAATCATATTTCTAATGAATAGTTTCTTCAAAATAAATTTTTATCCAATCATCTATCTTTTCTCTCCATCATGTACCTGTCACATCTCTTTATATTTTGGATCTCATTTAGACATAGTTCCTTATCTAAGAAACTATTTCATCGTCTCTCTTCTTTAATTCCATTCCCAATCATCATTTTGTTTAATTGACACTCTAATTAATAAACATAAAAACCACCCTAGTTCCTGAGTTGGGACTACCCTTAGGAGTTGCTAACTATTTTTAGTATATTTGAATAACTGCGTACCATAACTGTGTGTAATTAATTTGTTGCCAATTTGATAAACTACTAGGAAAGATGCAAATTATACTGGAAAAAACAATAAACTCACCGAAACCACTGGCCACTCATAAAAAAAAACTATCTTTATTTGCAGTGCAAAGCCATGTCGCCGCACATCCAGAAGGACATGCAAGTTAAACACCAGAACTTGCTCGCCTTCGCCTATAAATAACGAGCAGTCACACTAGTTGCTCCACACATCTCACCTAGTTCCAGGCAGTGCAAGCACTTGAAGTGAACAAAACAACAGGGTACACTTGGCGAGCACAGGATTTTTTTTGAAACGAACCGGCAGGAGAGTTGCCCGCTATAAATAAAGAGCGCCCAGCAGTCACATACAACTCAGTTGGACTCCACACAACTCACCACAGTTCCTAGGCAGTGCAGAAAGGTGCTTTGCTCCCGCCAAATCCACAGTCTCGCCTCGTCTTTGATTTTCAAAACAATTGGTGGACTCTGTGCGCTCAAAAACTCTCAAATTCCTCTCCTTCCAAACTTCCCAGCAAACTAGTATAATGAGCGAACGTAGGCCCAGGATTGTGCATGTGCTTTTTCCTCGTGCTTCTTGGACTGTCCTCCAATTTGGCACTCAGACAAGTCCTGTTTCAGGTAACATCGACGTCGACACCAAGTAAATACTAGCATAGTACTACATACCACGATATCCCTGTGGTTCGTTTTGTACCGGACGCTCTGTCTCGATCGGAGTAGTGCCCTGGCTGTGAAACTTCTGTGTGTATGCGTGGTTGCATTGCATCAGGGCTTCAACTGGGAATCCTGGAAGCAGAGCGGGGGATGGTACAAATTCCTGATGGGCAAGGTGGACAACATCGCCGAGGCCGGCATCACCCACGTCTGGCTCCCTCCGGCGTCGCGCTCTGTCGCCGAGCAAGGTGTCTGCTTTCTCCTCTGCTCTCTGTAACTCCGACCACTGCGTGCTTCACTGTCCTGCATATGCTAACCTGTGACTACTGCTGTACTGCACGTCTCTTTGGCGCGGTTACGTGCGCAGGCTACCTGCCGGGGCGCCTGTACGATCTTGACGCGTCCAAGTACGGCAACGAGGCGCAGCTCAAGTCCCTGATCAAGGCGTTCCACGACAAGGGCGTCAAGGTCATCGCCGACATCGTCATCAACCACCGCACGGCGGAGCACAAGGACGGCCGCGGCATCTACTGCCTCTTCGAGGGCGGCACGCCGGACTCCCGCCTCGACTGGGGCCCCCACATGATCTGCAGCGACGACAGGGCGTACTCCGATGGAACGGGGAACCCCGACACCGGCCTGGACTTTCCCGGCGCACCGGACATCGACCACCTCAACAAGCGCGTCCAGCGCGAGCTCATCGGCTGGCTCAACTGGCTCAAGACGGACATCGGCTTCGACGCGTGGCACCTCAACTTCGCCAAGGGCTACTCTGCCGAGGTTGCCAAGATCTATATCGACAACGCCAAGCCCTCGTTCGCCGTCGCCGAGTTATGGACCTCGCTAGCCTACGGCGGCGACGGCAAGCCTTTCCAAGACCAGAACGCGCACGGCAGGAGGTGGTGAACTGGGTGGACCATGTGGGCGGCAAGGCCAGCTCGGCCACGACGTTCGACTTCACCACCAAGGGCATCCTCAACGTCGCCGTCGATGGCGAGCTGTGGCGGCTGCGGGGAGCCGACGGCAAGGCGCCCGGCATGATCGGGTGGTGGCCGGCCAAGGCCGTCACATTCATCGACAACCACGACACAGGCTCGACGCAGCACATGTGGCCTTTCCCCGCCGACAAGGTCATTCAGGGCTACGCCTACATCCTCACACACCCGGGGAACCCATGCATCGTGAGTTCTTGACTTCTGTCCTGAATCTGAAAAGCTATAAATTTCCGTGCAAGATCCGGATGAACTCAAGACAAAAATTGTGATTATATTTCTGATTCCGCAGTTCTACGATCATTTCTTCGACTCGAGCCTCAAGAATGAGATCGCGCACCTGGTGTCCATCAGGAACCGCCACGGGATCAGGCCGGACAGCGAGCTGCGCATCATCAAGGCCGACGCGGACCTGTACCTCGCTGAGATCGACGGCAAGGTCATCGTGAAGGTCGGACCAAGATTCGATTGTGCACCCCTCATCCCACAAGGCTTCAAGGTCGTAGCGCACGGAGATGGCTACGCCGTCTGGGAGAAAAACTGAGCCAAATTTGTGCCTCGTCCGGCACGAAGAGTTTTAGCAGATTGGACCTGCATTTTTTCTAGCTTACTTCTAATACGGGATAGCTACAGGCTGTATTCGAGATTAAGTAGTTCATCTGTTAAGAATGGGAGGGTGAGGGGCATACCTACAATAATTTTGAGGAATAATGACACAAAATAACCTTTTTCACTGAATATGACGAGTGTATGGTTCTTTGTGCTGTTTACCGACTAGTAAGGTTGCCTTACAAATGGAACGGGTACCTAGTATTTATCGTTAATTTATTTTTACTAGCAAACATGTCTATGTGTTAGAACGGAATCCAATATGTATAGGAATAAAACTCTGAAATAGATGTGAGTAGTTCTAATCCATATGAATAAACGTAGGTCATGAGTCCAGGTCATATACGAAATACGTAGGGCGCGACCCAATACGTATTGAAAATCAGACTCTGTATTCATCATCTTTAGACGCAACTTGTTCTAACTCGTATGAGTATGGGTCATGAGTTCAGGTTACATACAAGACATAGAGGAAACTCTCCACTGTTCGGGTAGTTAGGGAGAGATGGATAAAAAAATAGATGAAGATAAATTTTGCTTCTTTAATATTGGTAGCAAATATGTCTTTGCATCGGGAAAATCCATTACATGTTCATAGAAACAAAATCACAAAAAAAATTACATATTTATTTATTTATGTTTATCTTTTCTTTAAATTTTAAAGCTATAATTTATTTGTTAATTACCATGACACCCATAATTTAAGTTAATGTTTGCATTAATATGATAGTGTCCCATTAAGTCATAATCAAATTAAAAAACTATTGTGATAGAAACATTTTTTTGGGATAGAAGGTGACGAGGACATCACTACTTTGTCGCATACAAGCCAAGGAAAGAAGGAGGTCCAGCATGGACGTCTAATTCATCTTTTTTATGGTAGAGGCCCAGTCCAATCGAAGTTGGAGCTCATCTCGGGTTTCAGGACCAGTCTGTCTTAAACTGTTCACCCAGGATACATCCGAACTCCATTTTCGACGATCCACGTATGGATGGAAAGCTAATTTGATAAGGAAGCCAATCCAAATAGTCTCACGTCAAAAGTTGTTCGGAATCAACGAGAATCGTGGTCACAAGTCGGCGTCCAGAATCTGTCAGGATGCTGCGACACCGTTTTTTGTCCGATGGACCATGTATCGTGTTTGGGCCCATTAGGGGCGCGTCCAGGGGTCTTGCACGACTCTAGAGTCTTCATAAACAGCCGCCACCCCTCCATTAGGGTTTGGGGTTTTATTTAGTTCTTTATTTCCTCGTGAAACAGACATCGTTTTGCTACAACTGTGCCGCCAAGGCTGCTTGCTGTGAACCAAGGGGCCTCAGTTCTTAATCTTGTTCACCTGTGGCGATTAGTCCTTTCAAATAAAGACTTGAACTCCTTCTTGTTGTCATAAGCCTCATATTTATTTGCAATTTCAGATTGCGTTCATCCCGTTCTTGCTTGTGTTCTCGATTCGCTTGCAGGAAAGCCTTGTTGGCGAGGTCAATCGCGTTCGCGTGGTTGATAACCAACGGAGCAGTGGTGTAATGGTTGTAGGGGTCCAAATCAGTCTTGGTTCGAAGCCTAGATCGTGAACGTCGAGTCTTCACCAATCGACGCTATCATACCTTTTGGAAGATCGGACCTAGTCTACATCAAAAGGAGTATATACTCGTGAACTGATCATAGATCACTTGGTTGAGTTCCTTGTGGTGGAACCTGCCCACTTTGGTTTAAGTCATCAACTTAGCATGGCTGCTCGCATTTTCCTGGATTTAACGACGCTATGCTTTACGTGGTAGGTGACGTTCACGTCGACAGCGAGGCACCTGTGGTGACTTCATGAATCTCGAGATTTGTCGACGTCCACGTCGACAGCGAGACACTGTGGTGACTTCGTGAATCTCGAGATCTGTTGGCTTAGTCTTTTATACTAGAGGTGCTCATAGGGTAGAGTTTGCGTACGTGTGTTCAGATGGGTGAGTGTGCGTGCGTGTTGTGGACGTCTACGTTGTACTGTGTAATTCTAATGACCAGATTTATAGAAAATAATATAATATTTGTAATTTTAATAGATTTATTATAAAATATATTTTATAATTAATCCCATGATATTTATTTGGAATCATATAGTACTTTCATGTATCAATTTGATCAAACGTTAATTTGTTTGATTAATCGGAAAGCGAGAGTTGCATCTTTTTTTTTTTTGAAACGGAGGAGTAGTGGATAGAAGACCTATAAGAAAAATATTCCACGAAAAGGAAAGTATGTTGGAGCAAAAAGGAAAAAAATTGTTCGGGGTCGGTGTGGGTATATGGTAATATATAGAAATAAAATCATTTTGCACAATAATTACTCCTGATCGCCCTTGCATGCAAGATGTTTTTTTTTTGTTAGTTTAATTTAAAGAGAGAAGAGGGGGAGGGGGGAAGGCTCACGGCACCTGATCACCCGGTGGTAGTTCTCTTCTTCCTAAATTCCCCACACCTAGGTCAAATAGCCGCCAACCAGTATCGCTAAAGAAAACCGAGTCGGTGGATATACAATTCATCCTACAATCTGAGTGGAATTGGCTCCGATCTGCCTCTGCCGGTGGTGTCGGTGGCCTACTGCACTTGCACGACGAGAAGCTCCACTCATATCGTTAACATCAGCTCTCATCCAGGTCTGCTTCGTCTTTATGGGTCTGTTCTTGCCTCCTTTCGTTTATGATCACAATCTGGATTATAACGAAATCTATCTATCGATCGATCCATCTCTCTGTATATATGAGTATCCGAAATGCAGGCAGTTTTGATGTTGATTTTTGAAGAAAGCAATTGATATTTTTTTTGACGTTAAAGCAATTGATATTATTGAATTGGAATATAATTTAATTTCAATCTTTGTTGCCATTTTTATTTTAATCTGGACGGGTTGTACTGTGTAATTGATCTTTTAGATTTTTGTGTTAGATCTGTTTATAAACCCTGGAGGCTTATTCCATTCGCCTGTGGCACTACCAGACAATATGATGACAGCCATGCAGCCACCGTGATGGTGCCATTATACAACAAGAAGCGTCTATATACACTCTACAGGAAGAATTTTTGAAGGTGATCTTGCTGACCGTAAGGAGAGTAAGTGCTTAAAAAATGACCAAATCTGTTTTCCCTTTTTTTTTTAATCCATACTCACGAATGAGTCACGAATCTAGCCATTCAATTTTTCACCGTCTTGCACTGCATGCAACATTGCTAAGATGTTAGAGTAAATGCACCGGTCACTAGCTAAACAAGTCTAATCATCGTTCACCCGTGACACTAAAAATAGTTTTAAACGTGATTTGACCATTTATTTTATCATTTACCCTGTAAACTAGACTCATACCCTGCTTGTTAGCATTTAAATGTCGTTTAGACGTCTTAAACACTTGTTTATTAGGCGAAGATAGCGTGTCGTACTAGATACTTCGCCTTAATTCCTACTAGGACACTGATATATTTCTGATTAAAATTTTGAGGTTTATATCTGCACCATTTTTCTTTATATCTACCCCTATATAATACACCAAAATTTACTTAATTAAATTCACCCGCTCAACCACCCCCACAGTCATGCCTAATTTAAGTCCACCCAAAGTTTTATACCAAAGTAATCCAACTTCATATACAAATGAATGGCCCAAATCTCTCCACGGGCCTTCTTCTCTTACTAGTAATGCACCCGTGCTAATGCTATGGTAAAATAAAAAAAAAAGAAAAAAATTGTAAAAAATAAAATGAACAATCAAATTCATGTCTTATACATTGTATAACCAAATATTTTGTTACATAATAAATGTCACATAACAACTAATCCTTTGAGGGTGCGACAATATCATTGGACTCACCCACGATGACTTTCTCCATCCTCACATTATTTAAACTTGAGGCTACAAAGAAAACAAACATTTTTGTCACGTAAGGAAATATGAAACACAGGAAGGAAATAGGTGTTAGTGGACTATTTACTTATTACCACATCACCATGCTAGGTTGTCTTTATACACAATATTTTTGGTGCTCTTCCTGAGGCATCTACTTCTTTCTTTGGTTTGACCAAAATGTTTGTCTTGATACAACCCTTGGTAGCGCGATATAAAGCTGTCCATTAGAGAAAATAGGCTCTGGAAGGTAGATGACAACATTTGGGATGGTTTGGCCTGCGCTTTGTTGCAAAACTCAAGCGGACCGGGAATTGTTTCCGCTTGAACTAGAAAGGAAGTGAGATATCGTCGAACGAAGCCATAGGGATTCATGTAGTGGAATTTGTCTTCTGACCACAACAAGGCTTCATTGCACGCAATCGTCTGAGCACTCATGTTGAAGCAATCACAATCAATGGGTTTATTTGCATCCAAAATATCTCTAAGTGTTCTGTGACTTAAACAAATTGGATATGGATGGTGCTTCGAACCCATTCTTTACTTAAAAAAACAATGACTAGGAATGAATTAGTTGATCACATCTTAGTATTATTATATGCAATTAATTAGCAAAAAATACTTAATATAAATACTCTTCATTGCCTATTTTTCCGTCAGTGAATATTTTGGCAGATGGTTGAGGACCAGCACAATTTCTGACAGTTGAGTGACCATATTCGGATTATCGATCACTATGACATCATCTGAACTCTCGATGACCTCTTTATCTTGTTCATCATTCTAGTACCCTCTTGCTGTGTTCAATGTGGAGTTCCACATGATTGCATTTGACAAAAAAAAAGTGGCTATATGTTTAGAAATCTTCATATGAATTAACTGGGTCTATTGTCAGATATAGTAACTCCAGTCCAATGCTCCATATAGTTGATCATCCATAAACCACAACTTAACTTGTTCAAGTGAAAGAAACTAACATGAGTGATACTGATACCATTGCAAGTCCGGCAATGGCATACACAACAAGTCCGATGATCTTTTATCTATTTGC